TTTTTTTTTTTTTTTTTTTTTTTTTTTTTTTTTGTGGGAACTAAAGTTAATAATTTAAATAATTTCTAAAAGAAACATTAATTGTACATAAAATACGCTTACAATTTGTAACTTTTAAAATGTATTCAACAACTGATAAATCGGTTAAGTACTTTTAAAATTTCTATATTTTTATAGCTATTATTGAACTAAAAAAAACTGTGAAAGGTCTACACTTAAATATTTTCGAAAAAAAAATTTTTTTTTGATTTGTATTTCTTGATAAATTTCTTGATCTGTAAGTGCTGATTTACTCTCATCTTCCAGACGCAAGCTTAAGTAGGCTTTTATCCTTGATTAAGTATACCACTATTCGGTTTACCAGTAGTGTTTTTCTTTTGAGATTTCAAACCCTATTACTGTTAATAAATGGTCATTGTTCTGCATAAATTTTCTGCAAAATACAGTAAGATTTACCTTTGAAAAGTCTTGCAAATTACTGGTTACCTATAAGTGTTCTACAGCACATTCCTGATGAGGAAGATTAACCGCAGTAAGTTTGTGTCCGCCTTGTAAATCTTCGTCAGCATTGCTGTTGCGTTCAGTTGAAAGCCCATCTACTTTTAGATATGCAGTCGATAAACGAAGCAGTTATTCAAATATCATTAAATTTTGAAAATTTTGAAAAAAATATTAACGAAATGAACTGATTGTCTTTATCTGTAATTACACCGTTTGCAAAAGTAACTGAAAATTGCTGATATAGTTCTACCAAAGTACCTATTTCGTCTTATGTCAACCACCTACTTCGTTTCCATAATTTTTTTTTTTTTAAATTACTTAGAAAAGCTACCATAAATTTTTGCATATGGCAGCAGCTTAGTCTGCACATTGACAGAATTAAAATTCTACAGAAATATGCATTATTATTTTCAATTTTCACTTGTAATAAATTTCTTGTTCTCTAAGTGATGATTTACCTCCATCATCTGAACGCCAGCTCAAGTAGGCTTTTATCCTTGGCTAGGTTCGCTTTTGAAAAGCATAATTAAGAGTAAATAAAAATTGTTCATAAATTTGATACTCTACTGAGCAGTTCTGGAAACAGTATAAAGACCAAATTAGTTCCGCTGTATTCCTCTAAAAATAAAGTTTTTTTTGCAGACAGCTTCGTAACAGAAACAATTAAATTTGTCACCTGTTGAATTTTTATTAACAGCAGTTTAGACAGATCATTACAGAAAAAAAATCATTTTTTGTTTTATCAATTAAGAATATGCAGTAATTTTTTAAGCTGTAGTAATTTCAAGAAAATTTTACTTATCAATTCTTAAAACTGCCTTATGTATGAGACAGTATAGAAAACATCCAATTAGTTTTTTTTAACTGTAATTGGAAATTTTACTTGATTTAATCCTCAATAAGGGCAAAAAAAAAGTGGTCATAAAATGACAAACGGTAATAAATCTCTCTTTTCACCTAGTTTCTTCTTCGATTTTACCTCTTTATACATCTACATTTTATGATCTTTTACTTTCTCTATCAGCGAATCAGGACAAAAAGAAAAACGAGAAAAAAAATTATAGAAAATTTTCTGTTTAAATGTTGATGACATATTTGGTGAATATTTCAGAAAAGATAATTACTGAAAAAAAAAAGGGGAGAAAGACGCTTTATTTCGGCAAACTGCCCTGCAGTTGTTTACAGCAAATTATAAAGGTAAACGATGGTTAAGTGTATCCTTTCACTTTTGAAACTACTACAGCAATAAGTCTTTGTCCGTTTCCACTCAGCAATCTCAGCATTCACAAATTACAGTAGAGAATCTAAAACTTCTATCTAAACTCAGAAACTTATACTACTTTGTTTGTTGAACATTTTTAGTCCTCAGTTAAACGATTTTCCAATGACTCAGTAACTAAGCTTATCTTTGTTTCACTAAAGAAAAGCATCATTTAGACTGTGCATTATTATATTCAACGACCACCCTATCAAGTTTATTCTATAACGGTATAAAACAGAGAGAATGAATTCAGAATTATGCTTTCTGAAATGCTATGTTTGTGAAAGCTGACACTTCTGCAACAAGTGCAGTATCGATGCTCTAATCAACGTCAAAAATTTTGGTTGATGAAAGAAAAACAGAAATTTTCATGTTCACTGTGGTACCTTCTTGCAAATAATTAAAATTTGTGGTGCTAGAAAAATCTCTAGTTAATTTTATTTGTGCTATTTATTCAGTTTTGCCGATAGCAGTAATCACTAATAGATCAGAAAATTTAAAGATGATTTAAACAACAAAACTACAATGTTATAAAGATGTACCAAGACTAAAGTGTAGATCATGAATGATAACCGACTCTGTTTCTTAATAAGGAGAAGGTTGGAATAAAGCAAAAAGAAAATGAATAAACTAAAAACAAATAGCCAAATCAAGATTTAGAACTTAGCACTGCTCATGAAAATACTACTTTGACTGCAGGTGAAAAAAAATTGTGGTCTATACATTAATTAACTGTTTTTCTATTACGGTTGCATACGGCTAAAATACTTGGGTTGTTTAAAGTGGATAAAAGGTTGAACTTAGTTAACCTTGATTCTGTACAAGAATGTACTTTAATGTTGTTCTGCTGGATTTGCTGCATCTAGGATTGCAAACTTCTTCATTGAAGGCTACATGTAATAAAGCTATTAAAAAGGTAAAAAAACGAGGGTAAGACGGTCAATATTACAACTAATTGCAAGGATAATTTTGAAATTTCTTATTCTTCAAAAATAAAAAAATTGAAAGTGCAAATCCTATAAACTAATAATAATAATTTTGCATCTAAAAAATTTTATTTTACTTCTATTTTTTTTTAAACTGATCCACCAACATTCAATAAAAAAAATCGAAATGATCACAAGGATTACAGATACGAAAACGATTTATTCATCAAAATTGCTCTATATAACTTTTATTAAAAATTTTGTTTCCTTCTTTGATTATTTTCAACAAAAAAAAGTGCCTGGTCTAACGTATAAATTCCCTTTCAATAATGTAAAAAAAATTTTTTTTTTAGTTGTATAATTCCTACCAAAAAAAATTTAGAAGTTTTCAGGTAATCGGATTTTGTCAATTTTTTCCTCTTTTATCCACTTCACTTCTTCCGCTTTTCAGTTTATCTCCTAAAATTTCTAAAAGCTTTACACTTTTCTTCCGCCATCTACCTGATATATATAAGAAAAATGAAACCTTTAGTTTAAAATAGTAAATGTCTTAAGACCAACAGTAATTTTGCCAGAATTATATGCTAAATTTTTTTAACTAATCAGTTTTTCCGAGAATCCTGCTTAGTTTCTCATCCATCCTCCGATCGTTTTTGACTTCAATACCTTCAGTGACCCTTAAAAATTGCACTACCAACAACCAACTGCTTAATAAGCCTTAAATTATCAACAGCTTCTTCATTACTATTACTTATTTGCTTTTTCCCCCTAAAAGCCTCAAACATCTAAATAAATTTGAATTAAATAATATGGTGGTCTACCGTGAGGTAGGACTTTGAATCTGAGAACCAACCTTTGTTAACAGATTAAATTTTTAAAGCAGAGAGGAAAACAAAATAAGTAGTACTCCTGACGCCGAGAATGCTAGATGTACTCTTAAAAACACTCAATTTGACAAAAAACACCAGACTACAGAAAGCCTCTTTGTATTTCTACAAAAAAAATTGGTTAAAATCTTTGATTTTGGATCCCCTGTTCAGTGGTCTTTTTTTTTATTGTAATAACATAGATTTTTGCACTGTAACAACGAATATGTACTGTAGAGCACAATTTTCACCAGTAGTTTTGACATAGTTTCATGTCTTAATTATCTATTCATCAGATATACTGTGGGCCTCATATAACATGGTATGTTTTTTTGTCACTGTTATTCATATTTTTTGCTACCAGTATTCAAAAGCCTTAAGTAACCTTCTAACTTTAAGATTCTCCAAAGCATCGTACTTTTAAGCCTGTCATTATACAGTCCAGCTAAAACTGCAAAAGAGTGACATCCTACTCTTATATATAAAGGAAAAAACTGCAATGGTAAAGCAATAGTAAATTTTGACAGAAATTTTTTTGCACATCCTACTCCATTACAAGTCTATATAAGTGTACCAGTAAGTAAGATTAAACATGCGCTTAAGCTTATAATTGCTCCAAAGTAGTTGAACCAAGAGACAACCATTTTTTTGGAAGCTGTTGCTGAGGATTTAACAGACACCACTGTTCTCAAAAATATTTATATGCAATAAGTTAAAAGCAAAGAGTTTCTGTTGTATATTTAGCTGTAAATGCAGCATGAAAAAAATATGAACATTACTTCTAGATGCTAATATATAAAATAAAGAAAAGTTTTGCATTTTATGGTGAATCTTACGAGTAAAGAATTCATTCATCCCAGAATTCATTAATGACATAAAAGGTATAGCGAGTGGTATTACTGTACTGCTGTAAAATGTCTGATTTTCAAATGTTTACATGTTTTGAACTTTAAGGGTGAAACAGAAGAAAAAAGGAACGAAAACAGGATTGGATGATATTGTAAGCAACAATGGAGAATGAAATGCTTTCGCTGTTGAGTAACACTGTGCCATAAATGCGACAGAGCAGATTTATCTAAAAATTATAAGGCTGCAATTTTCGGCGACTTTTATGAAGCAGTTTTTTAGGATTTAAAATTTTGAATTTTTTTTATTTACGAAACTTCAATACTTCCGAAGTATATCCTAATCGGTGTTGATTTGTCTACGTTTTTGGCAACAACTAATTAATTATCCGGTAACTGTCGATAGAACTGTTTGTCATTTTTGTTGGTCTAAGTTTCTTTTACTTGATTGATATCTAACAACAATGTTGTTTGGCTTGTAGGTTAAAAGTTTCTCAGATCTTACTGCTTAAACAACAAGCCGCAAGTTTTTTTTTTTTTTTGTTTTTGGCTATTCTTTCATTTCTTCTTAGAATTGCTTTTTTTTAAGCCGATTAGATTTTTGGCTTGTACTGTTTTGAAGATGTTTTCGCTTTTTTTTCTTGAGTGAAAGAGATACATGTTATCAAAAATATGTTTTATCTCTAACTTTTTCGTTGACACTAGTAAATATGCACTTCCTAAAGTTATCCATGCAAATTTTAGAGATTTGTCTCTTTTTTTTTCTTTTTTGAGTGAATGGTACAATAAAAATTTTTCTTCACTTTTGCTGACTTAACGAGGAACGATTCATTCATTATTGGTAATGCGAAGCTGAAATTTCTAGAAGGGCATGTAAGTCATTGTCAAGTAGACAGTGGTCAGAAATTCGGAGTGCAATTGTTTGATTTTTTCACTTTTGTTATTTGTGTAAGTTTGTTGACATTTCGATTTTGCAATTTTCTTGCATATTGAACAATTAGATTTTGCGGTGTGTCTTTCGTCGTTCCAGTAAAATGAAGTTTCCCGCACGTACAATTTGTTTTCTCTTGAAAATGGCTGTGAAATCTTTGTTTTTGACAAAACGCGCCTTTGCTAGCATTCATACTTTGATCGTACTTTTGCAGGTTAAGAAATACGGAATTTTTTGAGTGACCCAGGCACATTTATCTTTGATTTAAATCGGTTTTCTGAATTTCCAGGTTTCTAACGATTTCGCTGTTGACTTGCATCCCAAAAGGCAAGGTTAGGATTCAAATCTTCAAATTCATTCATTGATTCTGGTTCTTTTTATTATATCACTTATTACATACTAAAATAGCTGCTATTAGGAAACCGGAAAAGCAGTACAAAAATGAGTTCAATTCAAAAAACTTTCTCTACTGAAGGTTCGAAAGTCAGGTTGTACGTGGAAGTGTTGAAAGTTCTTTATTTAGTAACCACAAGACATAGGGGTCTGTCCACTTGCGTAAAAAAAACCAAATATGTGTAGAAAACACCCTCAAGATACTTACTAGTTAGGCCGGTCTTGTTCTGCGGTTTGGTAGATTGCTTTATTGCGTATTATAACTGGAGGACTTGGTTGGCTGTTTTCAGGCAAACTCTAATGCGCTGTTTCAGACGCAGTCTAATCACTACTTGTTATAGATATTTCACCAAAATTCCAGTTAGGATACTGCGCCGGTAATGACAGCTGAGAGGGACTTTTGGGTATATTCATTTTGTTCGTTATAATTATTAGGCCATAGAGATATCGGAACAAAAATATCGTATTATTTATCTTTTAAAAATGAAATGATGTACTTCTTTAATCGACTTTTTTATTTATTGATGTTACTTTTACTTATGGTGTTGCGTAATACAGTGCCTTTACTTACGGCTATCTTTTCTTGAGCCAGCAGATTCGGATTTAAGATCTTTTCTTATTGGCCATTCTTCCTGACCTATAACTTACGGCTCCTACACTTAACAACTATTTCACTTTAAAACCCCCGATTTGTGTTTATAATTGGGAAGGGATTAGGGCAGTTATTCTCAATTCTCTATCATTAGGAGGAGAAAGCGATGAGGGCTTTGGGAGGTAAAAGATCTACTTATGGGTTCAATCAGCAGTAGAACTATCAGCTTACTGGGATAATCAAGAGTTAAACTATATGTGGGTTTATATATGTCGCTGAATACGACAATCTCTCACTGTTTTACATTCGACGGTTTCCTAGGTGCTGAGACACGTTGATTCTGCTTCTTCAATTTTTAAAACTGTATTACTATTTATCATATTATAAATGTTATTTCCTTCAATGTGCTCGATTTATGAGTCATTTTTTTGTAACGGAGTTTTTTTGTTTTCACTGCAGGCTTTTTACTAATTTCCGATGCTGGGTAGTTTAATGTCGTGGTAAATCCTGTTTTACTTTTATTTCAACTTATCATTAGAGTTTTTTCAGTTGTTATTCTCTCAACAGTATCTTCATTTAATATTCCTACTATTATGACGTTGCCTTAAACATGACTGGGACTGACTTGTTGGTGCGAGTGGATTTCGTGAAGTTCCGGTCTTCTGGTGCGTCGAGATCTCCCATTGGGACTTTTTTTGTTTATGAAGATCGAGTTGAATGGATTGAAAAAGAAGGAACTGAAAAACTTGTGATTAGCTTTTCGGATATCAAGGGCAAGTTCTCTACTCTTATGTTTTTTTTCTGTTTAAGTAACTTGCGAAATTTTTAAAGTAACTGAAGACTTCTGAATTTAGGTCAAAGAGTTTCGCCACCTAATAAAACCAAAACACAGTTACAATTATGCCTACACAACGATGAGCAACACACGTTTGCCTTTGTGAATCCTAACGGTGGAAAAGAGGTCTAAATTTTCACTTTGCTATTTTACAGTCACTACACCAATATTTTTTGGTAATAACTGTGCATATTCGAAAAAGCTTTCAGTGAAACTTTGTCCTTAATATTCCTGGCACTTCACTGTTTACTTTAATTTTTCTCTTTTTACATTGTTTAAGGAACATGTCAAAGAAAGGGATTTAGTTAAAGAAACATTGCAACAATCTTTAATACGACATCGACAAATAGCTAATCAGGTTTGTAGAGGGACTACATTGCCATGCCACTTTTACATTTTGGTAGCTAAATAAATATAGCAATATTAAGTCATGTGCTCGATAAGTTTGCTACTGCTGGAGTCGAGTTTTATTCACATATAGGACAGGAGAAGTTATTTAAAAAATTTACCTGTCATCGATGGTGGTATATCTGCGATTAAAGAAAGCTGTGAGGGTACGAGTTACAAATACTGGAAGAACTATTGTTTTTGAACCAAACCTATTAACTGTTGTTTTGAGGCTGCTGCGAGGTCTATGAAGTACAGTAGAACTCACGAAATGGAAGCGAAAAAGAAGATCTTGGCTGAAAATAAGCACATTCAGCAGCTTTATAAACATCTTGTTTCGTCGAAATTGATCTCTGCTCAGGATTTCTGGGCAGAATATTATCAAGCAGTAAATTAATTTTTTCGTTTTTGTTTTCTTGATGTTTGAACGTAATATAAGTTAGGGCGTCAAACTTTTTTGTTTTTTTAGGAAAGTTTTGAAAAATGCGTTGCTTTCGTAACAACTCATGTTTTTCACCTCATCGTTTGTGAGTTTGCTATAGTACAATTGTTTAGAAAGGTGTGGAAGATGAGGAAAAACCTGGCGTCTCTGGTGGATTTTTGAGTAATATTGCTCAGTCTGAAGGCGTAAGCGGTGTCAAGTTAAATCTGAATGTAGAAACAATTCAGAGTATTTTCAAGACATACCCAGCAGGTTCTTCTTTTCACTAGTCTTCATAAGTGAAAGAATGGTCGCCTACGAAAGATTGCAGTGAGTAATTTCAGTTGAAAGGAAACATTTGGAGCTAGTTCCTCATGAAATGACTGAGCAACAGTTTTGGAGCAAGTTTTTTCAGTCGCATTACTTCCATCGAGAAAGGGTTGCAAATCCGAATATTTCTGACCCTTTCTCTGACTGCGTCAAAATCGATGACGCTGGTAGGATGCTTAAAATATGCCTCAAATATAAACTTTATTATTTTTTTTATTCTTCTGTTTTGTCTTTGATCCAGAACAAGCGAATATTTGTTTTAGATATGCAAAAACTGTTGGAAAATGGTGTAACTAAATCTTCGGTTGACTTTGACCATTTGAAGGATAATTTGGATATTTTTAAGATGAATGCAAGTAGATTCTTCATCATTTTCTGTTTACTCACTTTTTCGGCAGCACATTTGCTTAAATTGATCTATTTGATAATTTTTCGAGATGAAACGATGTTTCTAAAAAAGTGTTCAAGAAATTTAGAGTTTTAGGAGAACGAACAAAACGGAAAAATGTCTGCTTCAGCGCTTCTGGTTAGGCGCTGCAATTATCACTCTGGTCGAGTTTTGTTAACAGCACGAGAGAATGCTTTAGCAGAGCAGAAAGGTTCTCAAAACTTTGTGCAGGTGATTTTTTGCTTTTTTTGCTTGTTTTTAACGTTTATTTCACATTGATTTATCACTAAATATAGAGGATTTTGTAAAGATGGTGATTCATTTTTATCTTCTGTTTTCATTTCCTCTCAATTCTTTATTGGAAGTGGTATTTGAAAAATTGTTGCGTTTCACTACTACCTACGCACGTCCTTTTACATTTTCAGAACTAGTTTTTTTTAGAACCTTTATGACCCCGATGGTGATGATTTGAGATTGGAGAGTGAGGAATTACGTGGGGAAGACGAAGATGAAGAAACTGAGCAAATAGAGCTCTTTGAAAAGGAGGCCGGAACTGCTTCCTCGTCAGAGTTAGATGAACGAGAGGGCCATTCTAACGAGACTATCTTGAAGCTAACAGAGACGCCGATATCTGTGGATGTTAGTTAAATTATACTTTTCAACAATTGTCATTTATACTAACGACTTTTTTAAATTTTCAAAAAAAAAAAAAACCATTTAAGAGCACCTCAGTAGTTGAAATGTTGGAGCAAGATGAATCGTTCCCTGATGATAAGGGTCCGACAGACAGATTGTTGAACATTTCTTCGGACAGTGCTGCACTAACTGATTTACAAATTGTCGACGACTCATTGGCAGAACTTTTGAAGCATTTTTGGATGTGCTTTCCTTTAAGTACGACAGCGCTGGAAGAAAAGGTTGGTTATACTTTGCTTAATGTTTTATGCTGTTAAATTTTTTTATCTAAGTGGTAGCAGTTTTTGTATTGACGAAAAGTAATGCTTCAGCTATCTCGAATGTTTACGACATTGAAAAATTTTGAATCTAATCAGCTTGCTGATGCTGAGCGACGCTTTGGACCTTACTACGTAAAGCGCTTTTGCCGAATAATTTTTTTTTTACACTTTTGTATGGATTGGCTGCTTTCCTACTCTTCTTTGCACGTTCTACCTCTGTATAAGTTATGTTTTGATTTAGGTAAAACATTGTCATTACATGCTCAATCAAGCTTATGTTCGTTACGAGGCTGTTCTTCGAAAGAAAAGGAAAGTTACTCGTCAAAGAGCTGTTTCTTAAAAGTTGTCATATCTTGAAATATAAATATTTTTTTTGTTTCCAAAGTTGATCTTTACTTTTTTTATAATTTATCTCTGTGCCCTACGTAGCGCTCAGATTTTATTCTAATGTTTTACACTTGATATTTCTCTAATAATTTATACCATAATTTTCCTATAAACTCTCGAACTGAGACATGAAAAAATATTTGTTTCATACCTGTTTTAGTTGGTGGATATTTTAGTTTGCATAGTGTTGAGCTTTTGGGAAGCTGCTGAAATGAGAAAATTTATGCTTCAGTGAACGAAATTTATTATTTTGCGGGTCTGTTGAATCGTTGCTTTTTACTCTGTTCAATTATTGTTTTAGTGTATCGTTTGATGGTTGAACAGTCGCATGGTCTGTGCCACTTTTAGACTTGCTTAGTTTTAATGTCTCATTAAAAAAGATTACATTTCATCTTCTTGTATTTTAGAATTTGGTCATTGCGCTCAATTTTTTGAGATCTTAACGTTAAAAAAATTTTTGATGATACTGTAGGAAGTGCTTTGCGCTATCATATATCATTTGTCTGTGTGAATACCAGGTTGTTATTCAGCCAAGTGAACAGTAAGAATTTTTGTTCTTTGTTTTGGTATTGTTTTATGATAAAGTTTATTGAGTCTTAGTTTAAGGAAATATCTCTTAGGAAACATGTAGTTTTGATTTGTTTTTTCATTTATTTTTGTTGTTACTCGTTGTTATGTGTTTGTTAAGAAATTATAGTTGAAAAATGAAACCGTCTAAGAATTGCGGACTTCATTTGGTCAAAAGTCGGTTTTTACGAGTTGGTATTGATTTTTACGTTATGGCTAAAGAGTTGGAAATGCGATGAATATTTGTCGAAATCAGGCGCGCTTGAACTTCCAATCTCTAATTTGCAGAAGCGATACTAGTTTATCGGTTTGCAGCCGTTTGGAACTCTGAGCTTTTATATTCGACCTTTGCTTATGGTGCAGTTAGCCGTTCGGCGTTTACTAATTGGCATTGCTGCATCTAACGCACAGTGTTTGCCATTGTACAGTCAAAGACCGGAGCTTGATTTTGATTTTATTTTGGACAAGTCAAACTTAGAGGTGTTAAAAAAAAATATTCAGGTACGGAAAGGGGTTGGGAATATTGAGTTAGTGCATTCTTTGTGGCAACAAATTCGGGAATTTCCGAAGAAAAGTGGCGGGACGGAAGAGGAGTACAAGTGGTTGTGGGACAAGGTTAACATACCAGCTATATAATTTTATTTTTTTATCGAGGCGGTTAACGTCGTATTCCGTTAATGATCTTCGTTTCCAGTTATACCAGGAAGCGTTACTAATTCCAAATATGTGCCACCCAGATGTCCCTACTGGTCCTGAAGCGGCGGCAAAAGTGGTTCGTGAATTTGGTGGTGACAGAAGAGAAGGCTCGTCGCTAGTAACTGCGGAGATCATAGGCAATTATTGGAAGTCTGTTATCTATCCACGTGAGGCTTGTGGAAACCGGAGTTATGCGTTCATCGGTTTGTGTTGCGTGGTAAATGTTTTTGTGCTTCCGACTCAGGGGCTTTAAATTTAAAACAATCTATCGCTTATTTTTTGGTTATGTGCATTTTAAATCTGTCGGTTTCGTTGAATTAGCTGTTAAAAATCCGTATGCCCAGAAGTGTAACACTGTAAGTCCTTTTGAAGAAGCATGTTTATTTTGCGGCTTTTGAGAATATAGGCTCGTTTATAAGAGTAAAGTAATTCACACTTTCTGTTTGTGAATATATCTGTTTAAGGTCCACTAGCCGAATTAGAGCGAGCTTTAATTAGATATGTATGGAATTTCGTGTTGGCTAAGGGTTTTCGACCAGTAATTGTGTCGGACATTGTTCCTGCTGCTGTTACAGAGGCTTGCGGTTTGCAGCAGAGGAGTGGAAGTAGTATCAAGTATGTCTTGGAGCAAGATAAGTCATTGTGCGTCTCCGGAACTTCAGGTTATCTATCATTTATGGCTGATTTGAATAAGGAAAGTTGAAATGGCAGAGAAATCAGTTGGGTGCACTATTATTCAAATTGCGTTGGTTTAACTTCAGGGGGCTCTGCTACTTTTTTCGTGTGGGAAGAAGATATTTTTTTTTTCAGAAATGGGAATAAGTAACATGTTAAGAAGGAAGCTTTTTTACAAAAAAGATTTGCCCGTAAAGTTTACGGCGCTAAGTCGATGTTATCGTCCAGAAGTGTCGCAGTCAGCTCACGAAGCGCGCTTGTATAGAGTTCATGAATTTACTAAGGTATTTTTGGAAAACATTTTGGTAGTATTCTCTTCTGCTTATCGGCTCCTATTTTTTTAAGATTGAAATGTTTGCCGTTTGCGAACCGAAAGATAGCGGTAAAGTTCTGCAAGAAATTGTTGATATTCAGTGCTCAATTTTTGATTCTTTAGGATTACATTGCAGGTGAATTGGTTTTTTTTGTACATTGTAAAAAAGTGTTTCGGTTTTTTCCACGCAAATCAAAACTTAATTTTTCAACTTTTGTTTGCGGACTCTATCAGCGGACTTAGTTGGAAAGTATTTAAGATTGTTGGACATGCCATCAGAAGAACTAGGAGCACCTGCTAACAGGAAGTTTGATGTGGAAGCTTGGTTACCTGGCAGGAATCTTTTTGGAGAACTTTCGAGTGCATCGGATTGTACTGATTTCCAGGCTAGACGCCTTGGTAAGGGATAATTAATTTTCGGTCGGCAATAAATTCACTCAGGTATCAGATTTCTTATTTCCTCTTTACGAACTGGTTTTTTATACAGGGATTAAGTACAAAGGTGAAGATGGTGAAAAAAGATTTGTCCATACTTGTAATGGGACCGCTGTAGCAGTTTCTCGCGCTATCATTGCCCTGCTTGAAACATATCAAAAGGCTTGTTTTATTCTTTTTACCTTCCAGAAACTGTAGTTCTAGTTCCTATTACAAAGGTCAGAAATAACGTCGCAGTTAAATACTTTGGTAACCTGGTAAAAATACCAAAATTTTTTGCATTGAAATATCCATTGGTAGTTGCTGTGTTACTTTATATGTATTTATATTTGAGACTTGCGTTTTAGAAAAAGACGGGAATTGGACAATTGCCAGAAGTTTTACGACAGTTTATGCCTCGAAAACGTTCGAGTACAATAAAAATGTATTCTGCTCCGACGCTTAATCCTTATTAACATTAGAATGTCATTTAAATGTAGCAGTTATACACATCCAATCAGAGTTCCGTAATTGCCTAGTGATTCCAACTTTAAGTGTACTCCCAGCGCTGATGCTTTTAAACTATACGGGCGAGGTCAGCATACCTGTCTGGAGAATTATTTTGCTGAACGGCCTCAAGCTCCATAGCTTCTGTTCGTGGGCTTTCGTCTCCAACCTGTAGCTTATATAGAGAAAATATTTGGAAAAGTACAGTTGAATGAGGTTTTTTCACCTTCTATTTTATAGGTTTCGTCCAAGTTTGTATAAAAGTGGAAAGTTATTGATTTCTTCGTTATTAGAGGTCAAAGAATATCGTTTTGTAGAGGTCTTACTGAGTTTAAGCTTTGTCGATGCCTTATGTAATTCATAAGAATATCTCCAAATGAGTGTTTCTTTGGTCTGGAAAGTATAGTTTCATCAACTGTTTGTTTCAACGCTTCGATTATCTGGTTTCGGTCTGTTGCTCCTTGGATCTTTGCTCGCCAGGTCATTATTAGGTTAGCCCATTCGTTACGTTTGATCGGTGTGCAAATCGTTTCAACAGTTAGCTTTTCCTAAACCCGACAAGGCATTAATCTTGTCCAGCATAGTTTGTTATTTGCAACTCATAAATATTGTTAGATTTACTATTGTCGGAGATGTACTTTTTTTGATAGTGGAGACAGTTTGTAGCTTATGCTTGTATAGTTGGAAGGTTCTGAATGAAAATAGTTCATACTTTTTTTGAGTTATAAGAACCAGTGTAATAAAATAGAAAAGCCTGAGGATTACTCTTCGCTTTCAAGTTTTTTGAGGTGGTTCGTTTATTGTTTGGACGAGGAGATGTTAGGCTCATTGGTTTTATGCATGGTTCTAAAGCTGACGTCTTTTTACAGTCATACTTTATAACATTATATTCAAACAGTTTGAAGTGACTCTGTTTTGGTGTCTCTGTGAGACTTTGGGGAAATTGTTGCCGATGAAAGTTCGGGGACTCAAAGTAAAAGTGAAGGTTTTGGTGGTGTACGAAGAAGAATGCGTACACGTTTGATAGGTGGTCTTGGCCATAGTAAGGAGCTTGTTCCTTGAAGTTTGGAGAGTTTTTCTGCTGAGAGCAGACATTACACCTCATGAAAATCAATGTTACAAAAAAAATCCAACTTTTTTCTAAGAGAAGTGGAAAGTAGCACTAATTACGTCATACTAAAGGAATTCTTAAATTTTTTTGTGTCAGTTTGGAGATAAATTACTGTAAGTTATTAACTTATCTTCTGCAAAGCATGTGAAGCGTTACATTTTTACATCAAAAAGTTACTTGTCATCTTGCTCTCTAAATCAAAGATAACTTACTTGAAAAGACAAGTATTTTCTGTGCCGAGCTAGACTTTTTGATATCAACCAGGAATAGTCTGGTGTGCGTTTTTTTGCTGGATTTGGGATTTTGACAGCTTCCTGGAAAGTATGCTTATTAGCTGCATAACTGTTGTGAAAGAATTTAGGATAGCAATTTGGAATATGTAAATAGGAAATGAGTAAAGCTGGCGATCGTTCCTACCTTCTGTTTCTCCAGTTGTACCACTTCGCTCTGAACCTGCTCAACCATCAGGTCGATCATCATCGTATCGGCTCCACTTTCTTCAGAATCATCAATTTCATAGATTCTTGCGCTTGCAGGAAATGTTGTTTGACTCAACCAGCGAAATATGCTTTCGATCGATGCCCTCATGCCTGAAGTGGCTGGCGTAAAAAAATTAATTATTACAGCATTATGGAAAATGATGTATCGGGATGTACTAAAATCTTGAGAAAATTTCTCAACATGTAACTCTGTTCAGCAAATATCCAGTGCTATTTGAGTGAATAAAATTTTTTGATTACAGCTAAATTTCGTTGTCAGGTGACAATACTCTGTTAATGGTACATTAGTGACTATTGTACGTCGAGGACTCATTTTTTAAAAGATGTTTGTTTAGGGTCTGTTTTTATAATGTTGCTGAACCGCAAAACAAAATAATAGCCTTGCAGTTAACCAGTAATTGTAGGTCTTCAAGAACTAGTCAAAACTGAGGCAGTCAATCATCACTGAAGAAGTTCTGAGGGCAAGCTGACAATGCATTTAGCAAAATGCATCGCTACAAGCAGTAATGTCAGACGTTACATTTGTGATGTTTTCCTTCAGAATTTTAATAATATTCAAGGCGCTAGCAAAAAGATTTGGTCAGGAGTAAAAATGATAGTATTTGCAATTAAAAAGAAAAATTTGTCTTTTTTTAACAAAAAAAAGCAATTATTTTTTGAATTACTGCTGAAAAAAGTGGACGTAAAGCTAGCTTTGCAGATCTAACGAGGTGAGCATTACAACGATGACAGCTATTACTGGTAAAGGCACCTGATATTTCAAGAAATTTCAAATTTTTGATTATCAGGAATAATTGCTTTAGAAGAGAGTTTAATTAACCTTGTTCTAAGTGGCATCAATACACTTTATTGTCACATAATCATTACTATGTTTATGCACATTTCATATTTTGAAGAAGGCTGAAAAAAGATGTGGAAAAATGGCAAATAAACAAATGAAAGAAAGAAGTAACATTAATGAGATGCTTATGAAGAAATGTTAGCGTTAAAATGCTGTAAATTTTTAGGACTACGGGATGAAAAATGAACGTTACGGATATGAAGCTTTTTGGTTAAAGTCTGGCATTGAGCTGAAACGCATGGCGATGATGGGTAATAAGCACATAGTTATCTTTTAAATAAGGTGATTTGCATAGCAACCGACATCTGCAGTTTGGCGTCCTCTTCATCGTTATCATTTTTTTTTCTGCAGTTACTAATGAAAGCTTAGAAAACTTACAATGCTTT